TCAATAGCTGCCAGGCCAATAAATACCCAAAGACATTAATGTTAATGTTATCACTGCAACAATGTTCGTTCATTTAATTACTCTCTCTAGTTACCAAATTCGAAGTTCAAATACATTACAACAAGTGATCGCCCGTTTAATTACTCTCTAAAGTTACCAAATTCGAAGTTCGCTCATTTAATTACTCTCTCAAGTTGCCCAATTCGACGTTCAAACACATGATATTCTTTTTGAAAAAAAAAGTCGAAAATTTAGCGGTGTTTTTCAACGTTGTAAATAAAAAGTAGTCTTTAACTTTCGCAGTGGTTTTTTTGTGGGGTATTGGGAATCGATTTGGTGAAGATAGTATATGGGCGATAATATACGCAAAAAACATAGTCCTTTTTTTATGAATTTATTGATGTATTCAGTTGCTGGGATAATGGTTTTTTAAGAACATGAAGAAGGTACATACTATTGAAAATACTACCTACAGTTACTACCTACATTACACATAAACGCTATTCCTTATGTACACTTTCTTGCTATACAATACCATAATAATAATGAGTGCGCGAATAATAATAAGAATAATAATAAAAATAAATGTGAATTATTAAATGGATTTTTTTGAAGTTACCAAAGCGATAGATCAAGGTGTCGATTTCCACCGTTAGTTTCCATTTCTTTTGCATACAATTATAAATTATACGTTTGCTTTAAAGGTACGACTATGAATTTGGTCATATATGAGAGTAATTCAAAAATAATTTGGCCATATCTGACAGTTAGCGTCTGATTTTGATCACATCTGAGACTGAGCGTCTGTATTTGTTTACAACTGAAAATAATGCAAAGAGTTAGCCCATTGCAGGTTGTTTAGTTCCGTTTAAAGCTTTACAAAACAGTTCTGTAGACGTTGATAAAAGCTCTACAAAACAGTTCACAGTGTTTAAAAAAAATTAAACTCAAAAAAAAAAAATAATTCAAATAAAAACATTTAAAAACATCTGAAAAGAAAGCGGGTAACATTTAGTGTATAAGTTATTATTAATTTCAAATTTAAATCCATCATATAAATAATGTAAAATTATTATATAAAAAAATTTAAAAAAAAATAGATCGTTGTTTTATTTTTATAACAGCTATTTTAACAAAAATAAATACTTTATTTATAATTATTAAATATCCTACTAATATAATAATTACTACTAAGATTATTAAAATTTTATGTAATTTATTTAGGTTTGGAAGTATTATTACTAATTTTCACAGACGGGGGTCGATTAAGGACCAGTACCTGAAACTAGCCACAAAATTAAGTGAGGAGCTGCACCGTCCTGTGTCCGAAGAAAAAGTGCGAGCCGTTCTGAAAAATGTCAGGCGGCATCTGCAACGGCTGGAGAAAGGGCTGTTTCAGAGGACACATTTTTCGAAACTAATGATTGCCAGTCACCAATGTTACACGAATCGTGCCATGTATATAAAATAGATCTGTAAGTAAAACTAGTACCAGATTATCCATTACAGCATTGCAGAATATTGAACGAAAATGATCCAAATCTTGATATCGTGATCGCCTCCGTCTTAGTCAAATTAAGCTTTAAGTTATTGACAAGCCCCCCCGTGTGCGGAATGTGGAATTTAGCTAAAGGGAAAAATATTATGATGACAAAATAAGACATGCCTCTTTCTTCTTTATTTGAACTTCATGGACTTCAATAGTTGTAAAAAGTCGTTTTGAAAAATATATGAAACTTTTTTATTTCCGTTGCAGATTACAGCCCATTTATAGAGTCATAGCAAATGCGTAGTCGCAACTATAAAGAATTTCAAATAGTATTGAATATTTCTCTCGTAAGAAAAAATTATATTTACTTAATAGATTAAGAAGCAATTGTGGATTTATAAAGCTCAGTGTTTTATATTTATAAATTATTTATTATGTATTATATTTACTTAATTTAGTACGAAATTTTTAATAAAGTGCTTCCAACGTACCTGCCATTGATAAATTTGATAACTTCGTAGGCACTTTCTACATTTAAAATGGGTAAAATCGGTCCAAATATTTCTTCTGGCATGATCGGATTATCTGGTTTAACATCAACAATGTTGGTAGGCTCAATGATGCGTTCAGCCGGAGATAACTGCCGCCAATACTTTACCATGTTTCATGTAGCTTAACAAACATCTGAAGAGAAATTCTCAAATTAATGAGAGAAGCACTTGTAGAATATATAGAAAATAATGTGTGGCAGTTGAATTCGAAAGTAAAAACAGCTGTATAATGTATGGAAAATAATTCATTGTAGCTCCGTTCGAGCTCCTTCTTTACACTCGAGATTATATTTAACACCATGATAAACCAAAATGGATGCTGCAATAAGCAATAGAAAGTACGTTATAAAAATACCACCCACTATAGGCATAGAGGTACTGTGAAGAACTTTCCGGCCCATTCTGCGTGCCTGGGGCAGCTCAGCGGCCCAGGAGAACACAAGAACATTTATTTTTTACAGGGACCTTCATTGTTCACTCTTTTAATATAAATTCTATTCCGACTACTATGACTCGCAAACTATAACACTAAACCACGACCGTCGAACAATGATTCCCTGATCATAACTCCCAAACAATGACTAACTTTAAATTATCCTAACATATTCTACTCTACCCTAGTCTTAACGTATTCTTATTCTATTCTTACTCTCTATCCTAAGCTACCCTATTCTAGCACTCTCTCTCCCCCACCAGAGATGGAGAACCCCTGAGGCCAAAACGAGGAGGTCCTCACAGTACGAATATCAGTTTCAAATAAAGTCGAATATAATTGACATCATTCCACACCAACCAACATATACGAATATTTTGCGAGTAAATGGGGAAAAAAAGAAAAATTTTTTAAAAAGTGATCAATTAATTATAAGAAAAAAATATGCAGGTCCTAGTAGAAGTCGCGTAAACCTCCAACCAAGGAACAAATAAAGGTTCAAAAATTTTAAGCGAAGCATGCCCCAAGGACGTCAAGACTTGAACAGATTGTGGGATGCGACGTTTGGCTTCCAAGCGCATTTGCAACTATTCCTGAGAATATAAAGTATTTTCTTGAATTTCTTCCAATAATTCTTGACGTAGATTCCCTAAATTTTCTTCATCCTCGTTTTCATTGATAATGTTAATTATATTTTATTCACAGTATCTACGTCGTGAAATGCCTTACTTCCAACGTGTTTTATTATAGGAAGTGGAAAGATTTATTATCGAACTTTTTAATGCTTCTGTGAATGCTCAAACGGTGAACACACAACAATTATCAATTGGGCACATATCCGCAAGCCGGCAACTCCATATCACTTTTTCCTTTTGGTCACTTCCTTCTTTCTGATCATCACCGTGCGTATCGTCCGAAAATGGGTCTTCATAACCACCGAAAAAAAAAACGAAAAGGGGAACAATATGGAACAACGTTCAAAAAAGAAACACTTAGTGTTACCCAGTAAACGTTATAATTAAATACTTAACACAATGTTTTGGTTTTTGCTAATTCCAGTATTTTCTTTTTGTTTTTTGTGTACCACTTGTTGCAATGTATTTGAACTTTGAATTTTTTTATTGTAGAGTTAATATCTAAAAAATTTTGTTAGAAAATTTTCAATACGCATCTCCGTGCAAAATCTTCCAATGTTTATACTAAATCTGATATTGATATTTTCATTTAAAAACTTTATTAAATGTAAAAATAGGTTTCGTAATATGTAGTAAAATAGGTAAAAAATTTCCTTAACAAGAAACAGTAAAGGAGAAAATTTTACCTTATTTAAACTTTTTGTAGTGCGTTACATGGCCTATCAGAATATCCATCCACTTGGGTTGGTCTGCAGAGCCTTATGACGATTATATCCATTTGGCGGACTAAATGCACACAATAAGCGTATGCAATATACGTATTCACTAATCCAGGGTACCACTGTGTCCATGATATGTATTTCTATATTTGATAGCATAGTCCGTGAAGTAGTTCGGGCTATATTGTCCCTAATCATATAACCTAAAGGAATTTCTTTGATGAATATCCTCAGATATATCAACTTTTACTTCTACATGTTTCTCTTTGTCACGCTGTTCATTGGGTCTTTGCGGTGAATGATAATCCTCTCTAGAATTAGATATTTTGAGTAAATCCAACTTTTCTCTTCATTTACTTTGATAATAATCTCTTAACCGTGCTTGGGCCATATGAGCTTTCAGTTAGTATAATATATTTTCTTAATATCCATGCATATTGATTTTGTCTCCTATTTTTGCACGCAATTTATGTAATTGAGTTATGGTTTTATTGCGAAAAATGCCGGTTACTTCTTTAACAACGTCGGGAGGCAACTGCTTCATGAAGTTCTGCTTGTATTCATTTCTTTTGTCGTCTTTTACAATAATAGCCATGTTATTTCAAAAGTGCATAACTGACCACCATTACTCCTCTACCACTTAATAAGATTGATCTGTATAACTAATCCTTTGATACATCATCAAATATTTTCCCCATCATTTATAAAGCGCAAAGATCAACAAATAAAAACATCTCACCACATTACTGAGTTAGTCTCAAAAACCAATAGCTAGATAATTTCCTTTATAAGTACCATGTGTTGAGAACAGAGTTGCTTTCAATAAACGGCAACGGTTTATTAACAAAAACAAAAAGTATACAAAATTAATCACATATGGTAGTTTGAATAGCTTTTTGTTAAATGTATCAAATTAAATGCGAATCTTTGTTTAACATAAAGATTAAGTTGGTATCTTTATTAAATCTACAACATTTGAAAATAAATTTGAATTCCGGTGAATGTACCAATTTAACATTTGGTAAATATAAATATCGAGTTCAGATCTATGATAAATATTAAAATCTTCTTAAAATACCCTTAAAGCCTTCATTTACTTTCTCGGTTTCTTCCTTTCTCTGATCTGTGGTCAAGTCCTTTTTGCTCCGCGTGAGTTGCATTCTCTTTAAGTTCTTTCCCTTCTGCATTTTTAGTTTCTAAACTTTTTTCCTCATTTTCCTTCTTTCGACAACTTCGCTTACTTATTTCACACACGGCGTCATTAGCTTAATTATTTTGATCTCTCCTCTCGTTTTTCAAGATTTGCTCGCATTTTTCTTTATTTGCAGCTTGTAATGCGTTCGAATTTATGAAACGTAACGTAGACAATAAGTGAAATGTTCTTTTGATTGTCTATTACAGCATAGTCAACAGGTCTAATCCACTTATCTGAACAAAAACGAATTGTTTCACTTTTATTATTTTTTTTAAATTATTATTTCATTCAATTTTTCGATTTTCGAGAACATTTTCTTAATCTAGCTACGAGTGATATTAAGATGCTTTAAATAATTTCTTTTTAAAGACTTCATTAAACCGTTTAAGCAAATGAAGAAAGCTGACTTAGATGTATATTTTTATGTAATTTTTCTTCCATTTGTAGCCGACGTTTATTTAAATTCTACTAAACACTTTACATTATGTATTTAAACTTACCACTATAACAAGTGCTTAATTCCACTATACATTTGCTTACTTTATGCTATTCGATGCTGTCAATAACTTTACACATAATGCGATCTAATTGATAGCTGGGATCGTTTTTGTTACCACTACTTGAGTCGTGATTATCAATCTCCATTTTAATATCACTCTCGGAGAGATCTTCCTCACGTATCTCCGGTAGAGCAGCAAAAGCTGTATTGACAATGTCCACTACTTTTTCCAAATGCTTTTTAAAACGTTTTATGGTTTCAACGCGTTGACGTTTTTGCATTTCCATCATTACTCTTAAGGTTTCACGTGCTTGATGAGGACGAAACTCATTAAGTAAATGATGCATATGAACAAAAAGTAGACTCAGGTCATCAATCTGAAAGGATTTTCGTTTAAATTATCATTACATATTTCTTATTTTTCGAAGCAAACCTTTTCTGTTCTTCGTGGGCTATCTGGATACTGTATAAGTAAATCAATTAAGTCCAAAAAGTTAACAAACAATGAATGGTTTAGTTTCTTCAGTTCTTTGCGCCTATCAAAATGTATCGGAATCAGGCGTTTAATATTTTGTGATTCTAACGAACGTATCATCTCTTCATTATTGTATTGTATTCCAAACATACTGTAGGAATCCTGTATGGGTGGTGGAGGGCGCGGGGCTTTGTTGCGTCTTACGTTTTCCTCTGAGAATAAATTAATGTATTGTGTGGGGGGAAGTGGTAAACTCATAACCTGAGATTCTTGTTGGGCCATTTTTCTTCTTCAATCAATGCAACTGTTTTGTTTGATTTTTCTAATTAATGCCGCGCCCGATGTTTACATCAATCTTTTAAATTTGGGAATTTTTGACACTGTTTGCGAGGTTGAATTTCTAGCCAGATGTTATGTCACTCGATCTACGCAAATATTTTTTCCCGCAAAATTTGTTAATTTTTGTGTTTCTGCTTTTAATAAGGGGTATGCAGACGGAATGTTAATAGATTTTGATGAAAATTTCTCTTCTTCTTGACTGTTTGGCGAGGCAACTACAGATGATTTGTTGCGATATAAGAAAGAGCTCAAATGTGAACGCAAAGTTATTTGTATGGATTTTAATAATATAACCAAACGATTATCGCCGTAATCATTGCCTATTTTTTCAGGAAATAATTGATTATCACCAAAAGGCTAATCAGGCACCATCGTTAGCAGCCAAGAAAAAAAACCATTTGTTTGTGTAAGCGATAATAAGCATGCAAAAGGAAACGAATAGAAAATGATGTAGAATTTGTGTTTAACTATATTTAGCTTAGACATTTAAAAAAAAATTTTATTGACGTTTGCGACGTTTGTGTACTTTCAAACACACTTTGTTGTTTTAAACTTTTTTAAATTTGCGAATTAACAATTCATTTTCTCACAGCTGTTTATATGTTTCTTTCACACTTGTTTTTCTACAAACGCAACTCTGACTGAGATGTTTGTGTTAAGTTTGCTTAATTTATACTCAACACTAATGCAAATTTCTTCTCATTTGGCGATAATCATCAACAAATTTGTTCACGTAAACGCCTAATTGCCCTCCTGATGAATTTACATCGTTGATTACAATTGAATTCTTGTGCTTTTTTTTTGAGGGTATTATATGTCTCCGCTTTTCGCAAAATTATATAAATATAGTTTTTGCTTTTCTGCGTCGTGCATATAGAAGTAATGGAAAGTGAGAGGAATGCTGTGTCCCCAAAGAATAACAGTGGGTAGTTGTGTGAAAAGCAGATACGGAGTTTGACCGTTATCTTTTATATGTTTAAGTTATGCGCGTTGAAAAAAGAAAAGATTTTTTGAGAGCGAAATAAAATGGTGAAGCTAAGAAGACCAAACCAAGTCAATTTCCGAAGAATGGTTCGGCGAAAAGGTGAATTAAAATTCGGAGAAACAAAAAGAAGGTGATCGGGAGATCATAGCGCACCACATATACATAAGGGACTGGCTATTATTGATTTTGTATTATCTGTTGATGGGGCATATTGAAAAAATTGAATCATGATCTAACATATATTGGAGTTTTTATATTGCAATACTTGGTATAAATACAAATTTGTTGTAGCTAAGATTTTTAATACCGCTTGTTGAGAAATGAATGCTGTTTAGAGGAGAATAGGAGAAAAGAACAAAAACTGAAAGCATAGATAATGACTTGAACGATTTCGCCAAGTTTTTGTTTTTGAGAATAAAAAAAAATACTGGAATGCTAGGGCAGTTTGTGAGTGGTTATTAACATTAAAGAAGCAATTATTAAATAAGATCTTAAAAAAAATAAATAAAAAACGTATTAGACTGCTTGGACAGTTATAAGTTAAAATGGACATTTCTTGTTTTCTATTGGAAATCTGTGTAACTTAGTTACAGTGATGGTGTATAAAAATGCCATCAACAATGAATAATTAACTCACGAGTGATTTTTGTTAATTGGTAAAAATATTTTTCGTGTACAAAAAAATTGATTGAAACTACTAAAAATTTTCTAATTGCTAATAATATGTTTGTTTCTGAAAACACCAAAAAAAACGTTTCCAATTATTATTAGGCAAGTATCGGTAAAGTTAGTTGTGGAGGTGGCTGTTTAATTTGCATACGTACAACAATATACTTCATCACTTAACTCAAATGAATAACAAAAAAAAAATTTGGAAATTAGTTTTTTTGTTCTAATGGTCAGTTGCACACTGTACAAAAAAAAAGCTGTAATGTCGGCGTATGTGCGCGGAGTGGGTCGGTCGGTCGGCTGTTTCTTTCGTCTTTACAAGAGACTAGTGTTCCATAAAATAAGGCAGATCCGTTAATTAACATTTCTTTCTATAATGTGCATTTTACAGAGCAAACGAAACGAACATAGCGTAAGGGTGGCTTTTGCTTATGCCATTAGTGCTAGCGATGGCAGCAGAGTAAATTAGACTAAGAGAGTTAGAATTATAGTAAAGAGAAGTTTAGTAAAGAGAAATTAAAATAGTTAGCTTAAGTCGAGGTTAAGTCGGGCTTAGTTAAGTTAGAATAAAGTAAGTTAGAGAGAATTGATCGCGGGGTGAGTTAGAGAGTGGGCGTGTTGGTTCGGTTAGTGCGGTTAAATATGATGGCGCTGCTAGGTCTTTAGAAGGAGAATACCTGGAATAGATTTTTTTCAACTTGAGATAAACCCATTTAATCGGTGTAAATATGTTATATCAAACACTAAAGACATATCTTGTGAGCAAAAAAACTGGAACAGCTGACGTAGCACGAGCTTTTGGGCAAAATTAGCCCCCACAAGTGGCGTCCGAGCAGGGACAATTCTCACGAGAAGAAAAAACTTCTTTTGCAAAGGGAAAATTCATGAAATATGTGTAAATAAATACAGGTATATTGCTATATCAGACGACAAAAACAAACTAGTAGAAATATCAAAAAAAAAAGAAAATAGATCGAAGAACAAGAACAAACGAGCATACAAGAAAAACTGGCAAAGAAATTAATGTGGTTGTTGCGAGCGAGCAACAACAATGCCGTGAATGTAGAAACACATTAGGGATAATGTACAGTAACTTAGTCGGTTAAAAACCGTTGCGCGAAGAAAAAGAAAAAAACAAACAAAAAAAAAAGAACAAACACTGCTGAAGGCGAATTAAGAGATACAACCGCGGCGAAGTTCGAATAGAACATGAGAATATGTGAGCATGTATTGAGTCCAACCAACGCAAAACAGACGTTCGCAGACGTTCGCAGACGTTGATCTCATGAAAATTGTAAGGGGAGGTATATCGCAAGATTATGCCTCGTTTACTTCTTCAAAGTTTTGCCCAAAAACATCAAACGAGTATATTATATATATTATATATATGTTATACAAATATCAGCAAATCATCATTTTTTGCTAACACTTGAAGCCCGCATTTAATCTTTTGTTATAAAAAAATTATTTTATTATCATTGTTATTATTACAATTGTAGATTAAAAGAAAAAGACATTGAGCACTAGCAACATAGGCTATCGGCTCTAATTCATAAAAGTACATTAGATATTGAGCCTAGTAGTTTTAGAGCATAAGCGTAAACAATTATCAAGAATTTTGCATGTATTGTACGACTTCAGAGAAACACGCATATTCGTTCTCAATCATTTGTATACAAATTCCAAACAAGTGAGAAAATACAAATTCCATACAACTGAAAAAATAAAAATTTTAGATGAAAACGTTAACTACGCAGCAGGCTGCAACACCACAATTCTAAATTCGTAAAGGGTCCAATATGATGTCACTTACATCACTTATATCATATGTTGAGAGTTTATCAATTTCTATTGCAATGAAACGAAACGAACGAAATCGCTATGTGCTAGTATGTTCTATTAAAAGAGCAACAGAAAGTTATGGAATACATAATAAACGTCCTGTTGTAAAACTCCATATGTAAGTAAGTATATTTGTTTTGCTTCTCCATTATGAAGTGAATATCAAAAATGCGTGTTTTTAAGCTTAACCTAAGCTTTATCTGGCGGTGGTTTACTCAAATTCTGCTGAGCAGCAGCGTTCTTCTTTCAAGTTGAAGTTTACAGCTTAGCATAATCACATTCGATATTTTCGACGGTTTAATCTCTACACATGTGAACGTCCTTTATATGGAATTTGCTGAGACGAAAGGGGGGCTAAAAAGCAAACTTTTCTATATTGCCTAAATCCTAAGAAGCTTTCGTTCAAAACTTATGAAAAATCCGTTTGGCTTATTGCTAATGAACAATGGCGATCGGTCAAGTGACATGTAATTATCGTTTCTAAGAAAAAAACAATGTTGATTTTACATAACTTATGTTATTTATATCATTTCTTGCAAGGTTATATTCAAAACTAAATACAACAGGAATATATATCATTTATACTGAGCGCTAGAATGTGGTATAGCAACTTTTGTCTGTTGAAAATAACCATTTGCCGGTCACCTACCAAATATAAACATGGTCGTACAGACCACACATACATACATACATGAAAAGTTTCGACATATTGTTGTACAAAGAAGATATCGGAATTTCAGAAGAACGTTGGGGTAATTGTATCACTTCTGAATGATACTGTGTTAATGGATAAAAATTGTGATGGCTAATAATTAGTTACATTGATTGCTTGCCGTAGATCATCAATATAACTCGTTTATGGCGGATTTAATTAATGAATGAATATGCATATAAACATATGTGAACATATGAAGTCAAATCGAGAGCGGTGATGTACAGTATAGCTTCAGAGTCCATATCTTAAGCTATATAAAGAAGAATTTAGTCGCAAAACCATTCAGACGGATTTTTCTTTACAATGGCTTCGATCGCTGCTGACGATGAGGTTAAAAAAGAAGTTCAGTGAGCTGCAGGCCTAAGGGTAATTTTTTGTTTAAGTGTGAGAATTGGCGTAACATTTGGACTGAACATGACGGCTACAATTTTCTGGGTGCTGAAAGCAAAGGTGCTGTCGGGAAAAATAAGAAAGCACACGTATTTAACGCAAAGAGCGCTTTTGCTATACCGCACAATAAGCCATAAATTGACAACATTAGTTCATCTACCATCGCAGTGGTCGTGCGAGTAATAGACGTCTTAAAGCAAAAAATCCCTGCTTTGCAAGCTTCAATTTGGAAGGCCTTCATACGTTCAAACTTTTAGAAGTCTTTCTATTTGCGTGTCATGCGCTCTATTTTATGTTCGTATATTTCGTTCGTTCGTTTCGGCAATTTCGTTTCGAAAACTTGGTGACATTTAGCTAATTCTTCAATTTGACAACAGATTCTGTTACAGAAAAGTTCTAAACCACAGTTAAAGCTCTAAAATAGAAAGTTTACAACTTTGGGTTCGTAGTTTTAAAAAAAACCGATTTTTTTTTAACCATATTGCTGTCTAAGTAAAGTTTCGAGGTTCTAGCTTTGGCTTCAAATGAGTTTGAATAAATCTTTTTTGGTATGCAGGCTGACCCAGGAAAGGTTTTGCTTCCTTACTGATATCAAATCCGTCCGCACAAATGTCTGCCCTTAGACCCCAAAAGCAACCGGTCCAGTTTGTCCCTCCACACTAAAGAATAATGTCCCTTACATATCTCCTTCCTCTATGCTATCATAAGATCATCCTTCTTCTGCACAAACATATGGCAATCTAGGTTCATATATATACAAAAAAAGGGAATATAAAGAAAAAAAAGCAAAAAGAAATAGAAAGAGCAAATATATGTAGAAAAAAAGGAAGGCTCTTAGCATATTTTGTACGTACATTTCGCTTATCATTTCCTAAGTCTCGAAATCACTTGTATGTAATCACCCATTTATGATTACATAAATAAGCCTAGGAACAATATGTCTGTAAGAAATATACATTTAAGCACAATTAGACCTTATCTTGTCTGGGGAAACATGCCTATAAACCTAAATGAGCGAACTTCGAATTTGGGCAAAAAAAGGAGAAGGTCAATTTAGAGGAGAAGTAAATGAGCGAACTTCGAATTTTGTCAATTAAGAGGAGAAGTAAAGAGTTTATTGTACGACCAAAAAATTTATTGTACAACCAAAAAATTTATTGTACGACCAGAAAAATTTATTGTACAACCAAAAAATCTATTGTACAACCAAAAAAGTTTATTGTACGACCAAAAAAGTTTATTATACGACCAAAATATTTATTATACGACCAAAAAATTTATTATACGACCAAAAAAATTTATTGTACAACCAAAAAATTTATTGTACAACCAAAAAAGTTTATTGTACGACCAAAAAAGTTTATTATACGACCAAAAAATTTATTGTACGACCAAAAAAGTTTATTATACGACCAAACAATTTATTGTACGACCAAAAAAGTTTATTATACGACCAAAAAATTTATTGTACAACCAAAAAAGTTTATTATACGACCAGAAAAATTTATTATACGACCAAAAAATTTATTATACGACCGAAAAAGTTTATTATACGACCAAAAAATTTATTGTACAACCAGAAAATATATTGTACAACCAAAAAATTTATTGTACGACCAAAAAATTATTGTACAACCAGAAAATTTATTGTACAACCAAAAATTTTATTGTACGACCAGAAAAATTTATTGTACAACCAGAAAAGTATATTTTTGATACATTTATTATAAAAAAGATTATATATTATATTTCAAGGCACTTGTATAAGTTCAAGTTCAATATGGAAAGAATTAACATCAAATTTTTCAATTTTTCAAAATAATTAACAATAGATTAATATGAGATTTTCATTTTTCCCAAATAATCCCAGTTTATATATTACTAAGATAACATCCTTATATACTACGAGCTTTTGGTTTTTTCCATTCCTTTGCCACGAATATTCTATATAATCTTCGGTTTGGGCCAACAGTAGCGATTTAGCGATTTAGGTGGTGCTTGCAAATGTTCTTCAATGTTCTTCACCGCCATACTTTTCCACATATGTTCCTTCGTCTGAGAAAAAATAAAATAAAATGTATTATTGCACGGTTGTAATTGAGATCTCTAAATACTTTACGAATAATTTACGAATATCTATTGCACCTAGTTATGATAGCAGATTTTTCGTCTCGTAGATTCCTGTTGGAGTCGTTGGAAATAATGAAATAAAATATGCCGCTTACTTAAGCTTCTGATAATTAGCTTACAATTGCACATCCAAGTAATGGAAAGCACTCATACTTTTAATTACCCATCAATGTTTTTCAATCAATATTTTTAATACTTCCTTTAAACACAGAAGGAAAAATTGAGAATGGAAATTTATGCAATTCCTACATTAAGTTATGTCAGATGTTGATAAGGGTACGTTCAGTCAAGCAATTTTTTTCTAAGGCAATAATGTATTTTAATGGATTTTTTTGCGATTAGGCAACATCTTTTTTACGATATAGTACAGAGCGGGACAAGTATTAAATATTGATAGAATTATTTGAGTACGGAGGAAAATATATGGCTACGCATTGCAAGGATCAATTGGGTGGTCCGTTACTAATTAACAAATTGGAAACTAACGGCATTACTGATAATGACATACAACGACTTAAAAGTGCAGGCTATCACACCGTGGAATCTGTAGCTTTTAGCACACGAAAGGATTTTTTAAATATCAAAGGACTTGCGGATGCCAAAGTGGACAAATTAATAACACACGCGCAAAGTTTAGTGCCTATGTGTTTCAATACTGCTTCCCATGTATATCAGAGACGTTCCGAGATCATAATGCTAACGACTGGTTCAACAGAATTAGACAAGTTACTACGTGGTGGCATAGAAACGGGTTCAATTACTGAAATTTTTGGTGAATTCCGGTCAGGTAAAACTCAATTGTGTCATACATTAGCGGTCACCTGTCAACTGCCATAAGATTAAAGACGACGTTTTAGAAAATATAGCTTGCGCTCGAGCTCACAATTCTGATCATCAGACAGAATTACTTATGCAAGGAGCAGCAATGATGGCCGAATCCCGGTAAGTTCGGAAGTGTTTCGATTTCAACTTACTACATACATCTATTTAGATATGGCTTAATCGTTGTGGACAGTGCAACCGCTTTATACAGGACAGATTATGTTGGACGAAGTGAATTAGCTCCTCGTCAGGCGCATTTGGCAAGATTTATGCGCTTACTTCTCAGATTAGCGGACGAATTTGGCGTAGCTGTTGTTATCACCAATCAAGTAGTAGCTCAGGTTGATGGCGGCAGTATGTATCAGGCTGATGCCAAGAAGCCTATAGGCGGTAACATAATAGCTCATGCTTCAACAACTCGTTTATATTTGCGCAAAGGACGCGGCGACAATAGGATTTGCAAAATTTATGACTCTCCCTGCTTGCCCGAGTCTGAAGCAGTTTTTGCAATATTACCAGAAGGTACGGAATATATAGAATATATAATACATGTAGAAGGTATATATATTTTGAATTACATTTTTGATAAAAACTCCTTTGTTTCTACGGCCGATTTTAACATTTTTTTTTATATTGTTTGTAATTATCATTTATTTATTATTTTTATATTCTTTTAGGTATAGGTGATGCTAAAGAAAAATAGCCAATCTACCATACTAACATCCATCTAAGACCGCATCATGTTTTTCTATGCATTTGTTTGTTGTTTTTGTTTGATATGCTGATGTTTCAGACGATGCCATGTACAACTTGATCTAGAACTGATAATGTAAAGCTTCCTATCCTATAAATATGTTAAACAAAAAAAAGTTGAACAGTATGAACAATAAGTTAAACATATATAAGTAGGCAAATAAAAACTAAAAGAAAAAAAAAACTAAAATAGGGAAAGAGCTAATACGCATCAAAATAAGTGCACGCCTATCGCCTATAACCGTAGAGCTTTATGAGCACATGAGATAAGCGTACATGTAAAATTTGGCAACAGATCGTTGAAAAATTAAAGATTTTGGACTAGACGTTCTTCTTCGAGTGTATTATCCAATTCCGGTAAAATTGAAGTTTATAGCAAAGGCCGTGCAATGGGCTAAGTAGTTCATAGTTGAGTATGCATTGACCTGTTTCAATTAACTAAAATTGACGAGTTATGCGTGTTATTTGCGATTTCTTTGGGTGAGTTCTAGACCATCTTTCAATTTCGACTTTCTTCAACATTAATTTCTTTCTATTCTTGTGCAGAGCTAAATAGATGGCAGATGGGTTTGTCTGTCGTATAGCTTGCGGTCTTTAAGTAACAAACTTTGTTTTTGAAAATGGAAGCACTCTCAACATATATGCTGCACTGTAAGTGTTTTTGACGATCGATTTAATCCATTTTCGATATTAAAATTCCATATGAAACATACTTGAAACACAAACGCAAATATTTTCTTAATTACACAAGAGAACATTTAGAGTTTGATACCGATGAGCAAGTTTTTTTCTGGGTGTCGTCGAATATCTTTTTTTATTTTATAAGCTGAGTGTACCCGCATAGATGTTTCATTTTTTCTCAACGTCGCCCTTTTATGTCTATACGCAAAGCCACAGAGTGCCACACTTTGCACGTTCCATCCTAAGATAAACGAAAGTCGAATAAAATATTGAAAAAACGGTTTTCTCAGTTTCGAATTAAAAGATTTTTTTATTTAATATATAATGTTAAGGTAAAAATATATATTTTTACGTGCTCATGGAAATGATCTAAAAACTAAAGAAGAATTATAATCTAGTTGAATTAAGCAGTATAAGAAATTAAAACATACTTAAGAATTTAAATTTCCGTTATCTCATTATTTATGTTTTTAATAAACCCTGATACATAAGGTACAATAAAATAAATCTTACAAATTAATAATTTTTCAATTATTTCAATATTCTCTTACGATACCAATAATACTGCATACGCAGTGTACTCAAAATATGGATCTCATTACAGTTAAAATTAATGTAATACGTAATTTGATAAAAAGTGTAAAAAAGGTACATAAATTATTGTCATCGATTCTGTTGTGGTTGTAAGACGATCATCTTGCTATTTATTTAACGTATATAGTTAAAAAAAAAAATTTTTAATTGTTGTTTGAATGTTGTTTCGTCTCTTGTTTTTTTTTTTGAACATATTAATAATATGTTTAATTTTTTTATTAGTTATTCATGCACCGTAGTGGAAAAAGACGATTCTCTTTTTTTTTTTTTTTTTTTTTTTTTTTTATACATACACAGACATGCTTAGATACAGATACAGATCAAAGCATGCACACAATTTGTCTATTCTGTGAAACCATTACGACCACCACATCAGTTTAGTTTACAAAAAGTTCTCATATAAAATAATAATCGTATTTTTTCTAACATATATGCGATACCTAGGAAAAACAAGAAAAAAAATAAATAAATAAGACATATGTGCATTTTTGCTTTCTATGACTTGATCTGAAATTTAAGATCTTGTTTTCAGAATTATATATGTGGATGGATAATAAAGCAGCGAAAAACATTATTCCACAATAAGATTATTGAACGGATGAATGAATGATTTGTGAATGTGTTTGAGAGAAAACGATCGTTGAATTATTACTGTTTTCAATTCAGCAATGTTTTCATCTCTTGCACAAACTTATTAATTTCAAAATTTCACTTTAGATATTTACCCTAATTTGAGATTTTGCCCAGACTGATTGATTTTTGCTCCATCTTCGCCCAATAGCTGAGTTTGTTCATCTTCATTTTGATTATCGGCCATCTGTCGATAACGCCTTGATTTATACGATGTAGCATTGTATGATATCGTATGAACCGACTTGCAACACAACCACCAGGATACAGAAACAAACGTACGTACACATTTTGGTAAAAATCATAAGCAAAAGCATAAGGGCGCGAAGGTTTGGGGATGTTTGAGATACGAACCGAAAATGACAAAATCAAAAAAACAAAAAAATGATAATAATAATAATAATAATAATGAGATAAAAAGCAAAAGAAAAACTTTTGGAAAAAATCAGAAATCATAGGAAATGATAATGTGAAGGAAGGAATAAGTTAATGAATTAAATAAAACATCCTTATAGCAAACAATGCAGATTACTCTTTCTTTTGATTTAAGATCAACTAATTATGTAAAGGAGAAAATTTCTTTATGTGTTTTTCCTTTATCTGATTCTCCATATTCTCCAAACGTTGAGGTACAGTAATAAATAGGAACTCGGTAACTACTATATGCTTGATTAAGCCTCACAAGTTAAGGCGAGGAATAGCCGCGAATTATTTAAAAGCTCTACAACTGTACTTAATAGAAACTCATAATTTTCAACCTTTTCCCAGACTACGTCTCGGAAAGCTCCTCCAATTTGTCAAATTTACATTTAAATTTGTCCTTCTTAATATGTTCATTTCATGTCGTAGTTTATTCATATGCCAAAAATTGTCCCCACTTATTGATATTTAATCCTTGTTTCATCGAAATGAAGAAGCGGATATTTAAAACATCAGTCCAAGCTAGCTATTATAAAATCTTCTTTTTTCCAGGCAATTTAATATACGTACACGATGTTGTATGCAAGTTATCTATAATTAAATATCATCAGTTACCTGGAACGTAAATGCAAGTCTGTGGCCTATTAGGACTTAAATGACCTTGACTTGCAAGTGCTTCTTTAATTTAACGATATTATAAATACATAATAGAATAAAATTAAACTGAGCCTATTACGCGGGAATATGAATTGTTGCGATCGTTATTGGTTCTAACATAAAAGCCCGCTTGAAAATCTTTACGGCATGAGATAGATTTAATGCAGTCTTTAATAGGAATCGTAACAAACCAAAAAAAAAAAAACAAGTTAAAGTCTTTAAAGCTTAACAAACCATACAGTGATACCGTATGAAAAGAAAAAGTTTTCAAATAATTCATGAAAATAGAAAGAAAAATGCACATATTGCTTAAAGTGTTAATCCACAAAATAAGCTGCTATTGGGGCTATTTACATTATTGAGAGTCCCGCCAGTTGATGTGCTCACGCCCTCTGCTTCTTCGTTGAGTTTCTAAGAAAAACGTCAAGGTATACTTGTATGTATACGTATTAGTAACGACAATTCTTTATACCAATTAACAATTAACACAAAATAAATATTCTTCTCAACTGTTACTAAATATTCGTTAACAAATCAGCAAAGAGCGGATTTTTCCCCAATCTTCCGAACCGTACATTCTAGAGGAGCTAATCAAAGCACTCATAATTGCTTACAAAGCTTCAGAACAAATAAATACGCGAAAAAATAAAAGAGTAAATGTAAACTATTACCCGCGATATCATAAGCGTTGTTAGGGCGCGTTATTGAATTGGAGAACACTTTTAATAAAAAACTAGTTTTTTTCTTTTTATTTGTATAAACGAATCATGTGAATTTCACCCTTGTGCAAGTATTTTTTTATTAATTTAAAGTGCATTTATTAAGTTATTGATGCGAAAATGTAAGATTCCTGAATAAGATATTGCTCTCAAAGCAATAATACCTAACATCGATCAATATTTACTTTCGCGTTAATTACTGTTTTCTGTTACTTCAACATTTTCATGAAATTTTCTAAATTGAACAAAAACCTAAAAGTTCAGTGGCTACTTGTTGGCTACATAATAAAAAAGCAAATTCGTGGAAAATGGAACGTATGCTTAGACACGATGGCAAAAGTCTCAACGCTGAACACTCTATCCTCTCAAGACCACGTCGAGTACACTGTTTTGACTATATAAAAGTGAAATCGAGGAAGGCTTTGAAGGCCATTCAGAATTCGACTATCACAATTGTTTCGAGGATTAGAAAAAACGTTGGCGTAAGTTGTATTGTATTTGCGGAAATTACTTGGAACGCGACGGAATAGATATGAAATAATAAATAGATTTAAACAAGAAAAATTTAAACGTCAAGGGCTTTTAAAATTAAAATAGATCTGACAGACCTAGACTGAGTTCTTTTTTGTAGATATATAAAAAGCAAGCAAACAACAAATCTTACGCAAAATAAGTACGTAACTCAAAATTCCTTTTTCATATATTTGTTTTCAGACGAGTCAAGTTGTGTTCAGTGCAGTGCGTGTTTTCTTTTCGCCTGCGTTTTTTCAATTGTTTCGGTGTTTTCGGTGTTTTTGTGTATTTAACTTCTGTCTTTTCAGTGTTATTGCTAAAACTGTTTAACGCGGATATCGCGTATGTGCTTTTGTTTCGTCTATATATAATAAAAAATAGAAAACAAAAAAAAAAAAAAAAAAATTGGAAACATTTGACACTTTTCTTTAGTAGTTCCCAACCTTCTTCCACAGTTCCCAAACCTTTTCAAGTGAGTGGTTATTTCACAAATAATAAGCAATAGACAACAATAAGGCATAATGGCCCCGGGGCCGCCAGACATAAACTCGAATAGATTTTATCTATTAAGTGATACACCCCCCCAAGAAAAAAAAGTAAAAATTCAGTTTTTCCGGTGTTGCCGATCAGCGATATAACCCCTATAGATAAAAAATATATTGTTATTTCTTCAACCGATGCTCGAATAACAATTTCCCAAATTAGCCCTTTTGCTATAAAAAAAGTTCTAGATAGCATTACAACATACATCGACTCCATCTCGATTCTACGCGATGGGAATTTACTGGTCCTCGCTGGGAACCCGCGCGCAACCGAAAAACTCACAAAGGCCAAATCTTTAGCTAATCTATGTGCTATTTCAGCTAAACTACATGAGAAACTTAACTCGGTTCGAGGCGTAATTTATGTCCCTTGCTTAAAGCATGTGCCGGAAGATGAAATGGGCATTCAAGGAGTGACTGAAGCATAT